GGGGGGGGGGGGCACAAATGCATATTTGAAAATTATTTTTGCAAGTACAAAGAAACTGTAACATGTGGTGAAACTAATATATTTTATTCAGTTATAAAAATAAATCGCAAGAGGTTAAGAGAAACGATAGCCTATTGTGTTAAAAAAGTTCATGGTTACAATAAATAACTGTACCTAAATAACACATATTGAAAGTATATTTTTTATACGGCCAATGTTTATAGGAAGCACTAGTTTTTGAAATCTTAACAACCGCTTTCGCTTCTCTTAAACTTAAGATGATATTTCATGACATTTTTCTTAATGTAGTTTCTGGGCTTGGCATGGCCTGGTAGTTAGGGCGCTCGACTCGCAATTTGTCGCTGAACATACTCGCCTTTTCAGCTATGGGTGTTTTATAATGTGATGGTCAATCCCTATATATGTTGGTAAAGAGTAGTCCAAGAATTGGCGGTGGATGATGTTGATAAGCTACCTTCTCACTATTCTATCATTTCAAAATTAGGGATGGCTTGCGCAGAAAGCCCTCAAGTAGCTTTGCTCGAAATTCAACACAGAAATCTAGTTTCTTAACGTCTCAGATGAAGCATAAATATCCATTTATGTTTTACTGTTTATACACACTGCATAATATAAAACTTAACATCATTTATTGTTTGATTTCTCGATCACGTGGATCTTCATTTTCCACGAATTCCTGTTTCAGGCTCCCACCTCACTCATGGAAAGTCTTGAAAATACAAAGATAAACGGTTAAAACCAGATGAAGATCATTTGACCGAAACTCTGGCCACAATTACTAGATTTGATAACGTTGTAGCTGCGGTTTTTCACTGCTCGTTACTGAAACATCTTGACAAATTGCTACTAATACCGGGAAAGCGTCACATAAAAGTATTTCTTATCTTTTAACATACATGAGTCTTCAAAGTTCATTTCATGTATACTAGGCAACAATTGTGTTTGTTTTTGAATTTCTCGCAAAGCTACACGAGGGCCATCTGCGCTAGCCGTCCCTAATTTTGCAGTGTAAGACTA